AGTGGCCTCTGGCCCTAGGGGACCCCTGGCCCTAGGGGACCCCTGGCCCGAGTGGCCTCTGGCCTGAGTGGCCTCTGGCCCTAGGGGACCCCTGGTCTGAGTGGCCCCTGGCCCGAGTGGACCCCTGGCCCATAGTGGATCCCTGGCCCGAGTGGACCCCTATCCTGAGTGGACCCCTGGCCTGAGTGGCCCCTGGCCCATAGTGGATCCCTGGCCCGAGTGGACCCTGGCCCGAGTGGAACCCTGGCCCATAGTGGATCCCTGGCCCGAGTGAACCCCTATCCTGAGTGGACCCCTATCCTGAGTGGACCCTGGCCCGAGTGGACCCCTGGCCGGAGTGGACCCTGGCCCGAGTGGACCCCTGGCCCGTAGTGGACCCTGACCCGAGTGGACTCCTGGCCCGTAGTGGACCCCTGGCCCGAGTGGACACTGGCCCGAGTGGACCCCTGGCCCATAGTGGATCCCTGGCCCGAGTGGACCCTGGCCCAAGTGGACCCCTATCCGGAGTGGACCCTGGCCCGAGTGGACCCCTGGCCCGTAGTGGCTTCCCTGCAGGGCTGATAGAATTTAACCGGTTTTGTCCCAGGATTGAGGAATAGGGCAGAATCTCCCACTTTCCAGAAGGGGAGGGGCTGCCTGCCCCTCGCGCCCCTGGTCCACAGCCCCCAGGCACAGCAACCAGGAGCCGGAGCGGTCTGTGCAGGGAGACCTGGTGCAGGTCGCCTCCCCCCGGGACCGCGTTCATCTACGAGGCAGAGCCTCTCCTCACCCTTGACTCTCGCCCCACAGCGGGCCTGGGACTCCAGTAGTCTTCCATGTCCGCGCTGTTGCGGAAGACAGGAGGGGCCGGCGCCCGGTGGAAGTCCCTGGCCTCAGGACCCAGTACATCATGGGGCTGGACAGAAAGGAATCCTAGAGCGAGAAGGGAGGCCAGCTGAGGGTGCTCCGGGGTGTCGAGGCAGCAGACGGGGCTCCCCGGACCACCCGGAGGTCCCAGGCACTGCGGCCAGACCTATTTCACAGATGAGGAGGCTGAGATGCAGATTGCAATAGGAGGCTGGCCCTGTGCCCAACAGCCTGGCTGCAGGGCCCTGGTAGCCTCGGCTGACCCCACACCTGCCTCCCGCCCAGCTGCACGATCTCCCCAATCTCCCCAGCTTCCGTCTCCAGCGTCTGCGTGCGTCCAGGGCGGATTGCTGGGCAGTGGAGGCCTGGGGGTGCAGGATAGGCTGCTCTCCACAGGAATGCCTCCCTTGCTGGACCACTGGCCTCCAAGTGAAACCACTTGGGGCGGGGGTGCCTCTTTCCTTGGACCCCAGGAGCGACTGGGGGCACTGACTTCTCAGCCGCTTCATCACCTGATCTCCTGGCTTTGGGATCCCCACCAAGCTAGAAAGTGGCCAAAGCCCACACTATCTCAACTTTCCAGACCCTAGGGGGACCGGGCAGGGTCCCTCTGGAACATGGGAGTGTCCTGGCTGGTCCAGCGGGTGTTGCTCTGTATGGAGATGCAGGCAGATGGCTGTAGGGGCCCTGGGGCTGCTGGGTGTTGAGAGAAGACAACAGACAGGTGGGAGGGGCCGGGGTGGGCTCGCTCTGCCCAAGCAAGGGCCAGCTTCTTAGAAAGCCCTAGAAATACCCACGTCCACCCCCTTCATCCACAGGTTTGAGACAAACTTCTGCAGGGGTCCCGGACCAGACGGCAGGGGCAGGAGGTATGACCTGCTGGAACTTTCTGTGCACCTATTCACCCTGGACCCTGAAGTCAACCTCCATGGGTATAAAAAGAGGTTTCTGGCACCTTCTGATCTTCCCTGGCACCTGCAGGCTGTTGGGGGCCAGGGTGAGCTGGGGAGCCGAGGCCTGTGGGAGCCCTTGGTGGGAAAGTCATGCCCCGGCGGCGGGACCCGGCAGCCTCTCCTGCAGCTGCACCCTGGATCCCTCTGCGTGGCCCTTGGAGGTCACCCTGACACTCAGAGGGGGTCAGAGGCAGCCACTGCAGGGTCCGGGCCTCCTGCGGCAGGACCCAGGGCTCAGCCTCTGCTCTTTCAGCTCCAGGCGGAAGATTCTGGGCCCCGGCTCCCACCGTCCACTCACCGGCACAGTAGCGCTCCCAGTAGCGGATGGCTGTGTCCCGGAGGGTCTCGTCTGCGAATCGCACTCGGAAGGGGCGGCACCGTGGCCTGTGGGGCCCAGAGGCTTCCCCCGAGGAGCTGTGGGAGAGCACGGCCTTGAGCTTGGGGGGCTGCGGGTTGTGGAGTCTGTTGAGAGAGGGGAGAGGGACAGGGAGGGGCAGGGCCTGAGCCCGCGGCCTCTCACCCCACCACACACGTGGCCAGACCAGAACTCGCTGTGGCCTGTCAGCCCCCAGAACCAGCTGCGTCCGTGACAGCCGAGGAAACTGAGGCCCACAGATGTCTGCATCTTGCCTGTGGTCACACAGCTGGCTAAAACTGGTCACAGAGCCAACGTGCAAATTCTGGTCCCACTGAATTCTGGTCCTTTCTATCAGGCCAATCAGCAGCGAGAATAATAAATACTCAGGGACCATTCCACCCAAGCTCCAGCCTTAACTCTTCTTTTTTGCGCATTATTTCTATGTATTCTTTGTGTCTATCATCTACCTCCAGGGCCATCTGCTCATCTGTTTGTCTATCTCCCGGCCTCTCTGTCTCTATCACCTCCCATCTCTGCTCACCCCACATCATCCCTGTCTCCCCTTGACCCGCCTCCCCTCCACTTCTCAGCTTCAGAAACCTCAATTCAGTTACCAGTGACCTCAGTTTATAATTCTCTTGCTTTATCAGCTCCTCTGTCAATGCTGAGTCCGTGAACCTCAGTTTCCCCATCTGTAAAATGGGGTTCATCGCCGCGTCCTCCACGCAGGGTGTGGCGACAACGTAGATGACAGAACACCCTGCCCAGATCTGCAGCACTCGGAGTCCACCTCTCTTCTGGGGATCGCCAGCCCGAGCCGGGCCCCTTCCAGCCACGTGACCCCGAGCCTCCATTTTTCAGTCTTGCCCAATCAACTCTGCCTTTGTACCATGGGCACCCTCCCAGCATCCTGTAAGGATTTGGTGAGGCATCTAGGACCTGGCCTGGCATGGGGCCTGTGCTCATTAAAGGTATCTGCTATGGCTGCATTTATTGTTTTGACTTCAGCCCCCAGGGCAAAGCTGCAGGAGGGCCTGGTTGATGGCCTTGGCTGTTACTCAGACGAGCCTGTTCGTCCTAAAAGACTTGCATGTTGCTATGTCTGCACCCACTTATCTGACCATATCTTGATGTATGGCTGCGTCCTCCCACTTCTTCCTCCCACAAAAGAGCCAGGTGGCCAGGAAGAATCTGGGGCAAGACTGGCTATAGGCGCTGGGACCGTTACCTAGCCGCTGTCTGTCACCCAACTCTGCCACACTCTGGAACCCAGCTTCTCCTCTCAAGGGCTGAGGAAGCCGGTGTGCATGTCCCCCGCTGCCCTTTCTGCAGAACCTGCCTGAGGAGTCCTGCACACCACGTGGTGCCCAAGTATTGGCTTTTGAATCTGTCCACCTGCCGTCGCTTACCTTCAGGATCCTGAGAGCCATACTTAAGCTATATCTTGGGAGAAGTTGGGTGCTAATTTGGACTAGCTGATGCAAAGTTTCTAGACTGGCTAATGTTTTTATTCCTGGGCCTATTCTGACCCCTCCGTGATGTCTGCATGGAACTCTGTGTCAGGAAGGGTTTGGAATGGGGAAAAGTGCTGTGATAGATTAGTTCTGTCTGCCACGGTCCCAGGTGAGAAGGAATGGTACGTATGTCAGTTATTTACTCTCCTGGTCCTTAAGCAGGGCTCTTCATCCTTCGCCTCTGTTTCAGCCTGTTTAAGCTGGAGCGATTTTTTCTGCCTTCTTTCCCCTTCTATCAGAGCTATGACACACAGGCCCAGGTAAACTCTTCTCCACCTTCATGTCTTATTTTCCCCAATATTTGACATATAGTATAAAACTTAAAAGTTAGAGGAAGAGATGAATGGTGAGATGGGTGAAAGATACAGACTGAGTGGGTGGACACATGGATGGATGAAAAGGTGTGAACAGACGGCTGGATCTTAGGAGGCTGGGTAGGTGTGCGTTTAGATGAAGGACTATATAGATGATACAGATGACACTAGAAATAGATCGTATGCTGGTTTTATAAGTGAATGGAATTTAGCTTCTTTGTGCTGTGCTTTAACCTGCTGCACCACCAGGGAGGGACGAGGACTGACTTTTAAAAAAGATTTATTTATTTTTATGCATACGGGAACTGGGGTACAGGCCAGATGTGCTGGGGGGTGAAAGGAGTCACCAGAGACAGAGTGGGGAGCAGAACAGGCAGATGGACTGAAAATTCACTGCTGAGAGGAGCAGTAGGGAGACAGGAGAGGTCTGCTGCACCACATGGGTCACCTTCCTGGCCGGGGATGGAACTTGTGCTGCAGAAGCTGTGACCAGCTTCACAGTGCTGCGCTTTAACTCATTGTGCTACCAGGGAGGGCCCGCTGATTGATGTTTTGATTCATGGATAAATAGCTAGAATTGTGGGAGGTTGTAGATGGGAGGTGGAGAGATGGAAAGATTCATAAACTGGATATAGAAGAGCTGGCTCACAGATGAGATATAAGCCAGGGTGGGTGGATGAAAGAGATAGTGAATGTTAATGGATTCACGGATGAATAATGAATGTTAGCAGGTGAATGGCACAGATATTGACACATGGTCCTTGATCCGGTTGGGAGGCCTGATTCATGGATAGATCTACACAGTGATGGCATAGATGGACCTGGGGGGTCGATTATAATGCTTTGGTGGTAGCCTGATTCACGCATGGACTGTGGAGGACTAGGACAGAGGTGTACATTCATGGGTGAGTGGCAGAGGAAGGAAGGAAGTGCTTTCTCGCCACCCTTTTCCCTACACCCACAACTCACTGCTTGGGTTCCTTGACTAGGTGGAGTTGCGACTGATCTCTCCTCGGGCGTCCCAGGGCTGGTATCTGATGGAGCGAAAATTCCGGAAGACCCTCCTGGAGGTACGGTGATTGGCCCCTTGAAGACAAATAGGCGCAGCTGGAATGAGGGCACTGGGCTCCCCCACCTTGGGAACACCCGTGGCAACCCTGCCCCCTGCAGGTCACTGGCACTTACAGCAGGTCTGAGTGCATGGAGTAGCTGGAACCCCGAGAGGGTCGGAGATACTCGGACACCGCCCTCTGATGCTGCAGTGCTGAGGCTGCCGGGAGCCACGAGGGGTGGGAACAGTTAAGAGTGTTTCCTGGGGTCTCACAGTTGGCTTGCCTCGGGCCTCAGTTTGCTCCTCCGTACAACCTCCCCCGTGCACGGTGGTTCCAGGACT